CTGAGGAGCAGACTGCTTTGAGTTTAACTCCATCACAGAACTCTTATCTTGAGCAAACATGAAGGCGATAGTGGAAAGGAAAAAGTTCCACATGAGGAAGAAACCTCTAGCAGAACCAGGCTCAGGACAAGTGGCCATGTGCTTATTTAAGATTTAAATCATATTCATGACTGCACTACACATGCATACAAGTGGTAATGCCCTGATAGGCCGACTTACAGTATTTATTACAGTAGTTCTGTGATGTAACTGGATTATAACAGAGCTTTAGGGCCATGCTAAGAAAAAAAATTGAAAGCCATAAAATTATGAGAATAAAGTCCTAGTATTACGAAAATAAAGTTGAAGTCTTAATATTATGAGAATAAAATTATACAAGACTTTTTGCAGCTCTCGTGTTTTTTTTTTTTTTCCAGGCGTGGGATCCACAACGCAACCTGTCAATCAATCCAGTAGGCGTGTCAGCAAATGACCAGTCCGAAGCTAAATGATTGAGAAATCAAGGGTTGCATTGTGAGTGCTATGGACAGCCTCCAGTGCGAGTCACTGTGTATATGAAGTAGTCCGCGATCACTATTGGGTCACTGTTTGTGAAATATGCTTCCATCCACATTATGTGACGACTAAATCCATCAATGCAGCCATTAATTGCAATGCCATACACGTACGGCTTCAGTTTATCACAAGAATGCTCAACATTCTTCATTTTACCACAGTTAAAATGCGATAAACCCTGCTTTATCATGTCAAAGTTCAGATAATATTATAGCTTTATTCTGGTAAAAAATATTACGCGTTTATTCTCATAATATTATGAGTTTATTCTTGTAATTTTACGACTTTATTCTCATAATAATACTATTATCATACGAGTTTATTCACATAATACTACTGACTATTATCATATGACTTTATTCTCGTAATACTACAAACTTATTCTCGTAATATTATGATTTAATTGTTGTACAACTTTAATTTTATGGCTTTAAATTTTTTTTTCCTTAGCGTGGCAATGTAATTTTTTTATTTTTTTTTTTAGCGTGGCCCTAAAGCGCCGTCATACTGGATAATCGTGTATAGTTAAAGTTTATGGGGTTAAATTGATCCTTTTCTGGTTTCTTAGCTGTGCCACATAATCCAACCAAGTGATCAAAATGTAAAATAATTATGAATGTTGATTTTCTTCAAACAGGCATCATTCTGTGCTCTTCCCTCTCGTGATCTGCTTGTGGTGACTTCTCAGAAAGGTATCCAGGTGAGTCTGCTTTTCTCTGATGTCACTGAAAGGCACATATTTTTGACAACTTCTAGATTGTTTTTGTGGTAAAAAAAAAAGAATTTGTGTTGTCAAGTAGTACTTCTATAAATTTATGGGACTTTACAGCTTTATTTCTGCCTATCAATCTGTTTTTCTTAATAAGATGTATGAATCTGATGGCTCCATCATGGTGTACTGGCATGCACTGGATACTCCAGAAACACCTACAGGTAAACTTGCATAAACACTGTGGATTTGCTGCATGTGGGTACACTCACTCAGAGAAAGGTTTCTCCTTTTTATTAGCAGCATAACTTTGATGAAATATCCACGTTAATTCAGTATAATAGGTTGTAATAGTTTGGAAAAGGAATATTTGATCAAAATAATCTTACACAAGTGCATGCTGTCGTTACTGGTTTTGTGACAGCACACCTGATCCATCTTTGGAGTATTAAAACAATCTAAACATACTCAAAAATAAACATTAGTATATCACTTTTCAGAATATTGCTTATGTTATAACAAAGTTATTTCCTCTTTTTACTTTAAGTTCCTATATTGCAGTGTTCCTGCAGTACCTTGAGTTCAGAGCTTTCTTTAAAGAGCGTGTGGGCCAGAAGTGGTTCTTGAGCCATCGCAAACCGGCCCTCTGTGTTTTTCATACAACTTGAGCTAAATTAATTTAAGACCGGGGTTTTAGTAATAACTCTCAAGAAATGTCCAAATAAGTCTGTAGTGCCTTTTGAAGCAGTTTACAAGAGTCTGATCTTCAGGGGAAATAAAAATGGTGCTCACCTGTGCCCCGAGTACGTAAAAGTCAATATAGGTTTATGATAGTGTTTGTTTACATGTTTAAACATTAGTGTGTGTGTGAAAATATTTTCCTAACAGAACTGATTTCTATTTTAGAACAGGCAGTCTTTGCTCGTGGAATATCAGCAGTGTCTGAGAATTATATATGCGTGGGTAAGTACTGAGTTACATAGAGTATATCTGTGAATGCACTGGGTTAAAACTGTACAGAGGACTTGACTCTTTCTTCAGGTGTTTCATCAGGTGCACTTCTAGTGTTTGATGTTCCCAGTAAAGGCAGTAACATCACTCTATCTGAGGTACTGGAGGAGCACAAAGAGCCCATCACTGATGTGGCTTCAGAAACCTCTGGAAGCCAGGTAAGTTCTGCGTATGTGTGTGAGTCTCTCATTATGTGAACACACATGTTTTCACAAATATTAGACCATCTAAATAAAGTACAGCAATTCTACAGATTACATAACCTTTTTGTGCGTCCCCCTTTTGTAGGAATGCATAGCTAACCTGGTTTCTGCAGATGACGAGGGCAACCTGTGTGTGTGGAAGTCTGGGGAGGAATTTCAGCTTCTCAACAAGATCCCTGGTTTTGAGTAAGAAGCTGTTTTTTTATTGTTTAGCCTGGTGATTTTATTTTAATTTGTGTGTGGGACATTACAATCTTCTCCCTATCTGAACTGCTTTCTAAAGGAACATGTGTATATGATGTTGAAGTTCCTCATCCCTCCCAGCTGGAAGGATTATATGTCCATTGTCAGATTTGTACTTTATTGTGTTTCGGAAAAATTAAGAACACAAGAACGCAAAGTGTAAACCCCAAAAAAAGTGTCGGTAGAAGCACAAGCTTATTATACCTTCACTTTATTATACATAAAACATCAAAATCAAAGCAGCAGAATTTTTCCTATATAATTTTCTAAAGCATTTCAAGGAATTCCAGCTAAATGGATAAACGCATAAACAAAAACACAAAAGAAGGAAGAAAAACAAAACAATCAAACCTTATTATATTTGTTTAACAAATTATTTGTATGCATTTTTTTTATTTAAAGAGTAAAAAACACAATTGTAACTCCTCACAACAACTATTCCACACCTGAATCCCTCTAACTGAAGTACAGTTGTTTTTAATATTTGTCCTAACCTTTGGTTTTTAAATAAATCCTTCTCTTAAATCGTAGTTTTTCTCGTTAATTTTGAACCACCTTTGTATACACCTTGGAAGGAGTTTATGATAGGCTTTGTACATAATCAGTGCTGTTCTGAGCTCTACTAAGTCATAAAATTTTAAAATATGCAATGTAAGAAAAATGTCATTAGTTGGATGAAAATAATCAGACGCAGTTATAATTCGGATAGCTTTCTTCTGGAACGTGTAGTGTTGGTTTAATACAAGTTTCCCCAGATTTAAACACAATAATTCATGTATGGAAGTATGAAACAACAGTATAACATGCAAAGTGATTTCTTATTTAGGATATGTTTTATTTTAGTCAGTATTGCAATAGTTTTTGACATTTTGGCTTTTACATTATCAATATAAGCCTTTGCAATTTGTAATCAATTATCACTCCCAAAAATCTGATTTCATACACTCGCTCTATTTAAGTACTGTTTATCATGAGTTTAACATTATTTGTTGTTTTCTTACTAAATATTACAAAATTTGTTTTATCATAATTTAGTGATAATTTATTTTTGTCACACCATTTCTTAAATATTTGTAATTCTCCTTCCATTATACTGAGGACCTGCTCCAAACTATTACCAGAGCAATATGTGGTATCATCTGCAAACAAAGTTAATATTAATAACTTAGATTCATTACATATATTATTTATGTAAAGGAAAAAAAAAAAGTTTAGGACCCAGCATCAACCCTTGTGGTACTCCACAGGTAACCTCTAATAAATCAGAATTCATATTATTTATTTGTACATTATAGCTTTATGAAAAACAATACAACAACAAATTATGTGGCGCACAGACACTCCAGTATGGGGTACCAGGCCCTTTGATACGGGCTGTTAGGTCCCTGTATGACCGGTGTCAGAGCCTGGTCCGCATCGCCGGCAGTAAGTCGGGCTTGTTCCCGGTGAGAGTTGGACTCCGCCAAGGTTGCCCTTTGTCACCGATTCTGTTCATAACTTTTATGGACAGAATTTCTAGGCTCAGCCAAGGTGTTGAGGGGATCCGTTTTGGTGGCCTTAGGATTGCATCTCTGCTTTTTGCAGATGATGTGGTCCTGTTGGCTTCATCAGATCTTGATCTACAGCTTTCGCTGGAGTGGTTCGCAGCCGAGTGCAACGCGGCTGGGATGAAGATCAGTTCCTCCAAATCCGAGGCCATGGTCTTGAGCCGGAAAAGGGTAGAGTGCCCTCTCCGGGTCAGGGAGGAGGTCCTGCCCCAAGTGGAGGAGTTCAAGTATCTCGGGGTCTTGTTCACGAATGAGGAAAAATGGAACGTGAGATCGATAGGCGGATAGGTGCAGCGTCTGCAGTGAAGCGGGCGCTGTACAGGTCTGTTGTGGTGAAGAGAGAGCTGAGTCAAAAGGCGAAGCTCTCAATTTACCGATCGATCTACGTTCCTACACTCCTCTATGGTCACGAGCTTTGGGTTGTGACCGAAAGAACGAGATCTCGGATACAAGCGGCCGAAATGAGTTTTCTCCGCAGGGTGTCTGGGCTCTCCCTTAGAGATAGGATGAGAAGCTCGATCATCCAGGAGGGACTCGGAGTAGAGCCGCTGCTTCTCCACGTTGAGAGGAGCCAGTTGAGGTGGCTCGGGCATCTAGTTAGGATGCCTCCTGGACGCCTCCCTGGTGAGGTGTTCCGGGCACGTTCCACCGGGAGGAGACCAAGAGGAAGACCCAGGACACGCTGGAGGGACTATGTTTCTCGGCTGGCCTGGGAACGCCTTGGGATTCCCCCAGAGGAGCTGGACCAAGTGGCTGGGGAGAGGGAAGTCTGGGCCTCCCTACTTAGGCTGCTACCCCCGTGACCCAACCCCGGATAAGCAGAAGAAAATGGATGGACAGACACTCCACTTGTGAAGTTTTTTCATATTAACTTTTATCCTAGTGTCACATTTCCCCGATTTTATTTGTAAAATGTTGTATTTATCATTTCTTAATATGCTCTTTTTCTGATATACTTGTTTTTCTTTAGTTCCTTTCCTTCCTTGATTGAATAACCAGTTTTTTCCTTCTTTTTTTCCTGGATGGTGTTGATCCTTTATGCTCCTCACCTCCTTCAGCATCAGCTGCTCATCTGTGAAGTTGTGGAAAGGTACGGCGGTTGCAGGTTACGGTTCAGGCCAGATCCGTCTCTTCGAGGCGGTGACAGGGATTCTGCATGCTGAGATCAACGCTCACGCTCGCTGGATATACTCACTGGACATCGCTCCCTTTTCTGGACTGGTGAGTCATATAAGCCAAAAGAAATACACGTTTACTCACTCAATGTAGTTTTGAATTATTCTTATTTTTCATTTAAAGCGACAAACACAATTATTTAGAAAAAGTCCAACAGTGACGTTTGAAAGTTTATCTTTTTGAAGTTTTCCAGATTTATACCTAAATACAAATGAAACACATCTCCACAATTTCACGTTTTAAATGAAAGGGGTTGTGCTTGGAGAAAATAAAATTCTTCATTCCACCATGAGAACCTGATCTAAGCCTGTGGTTCTTGATATAAAACATTTTTGGCCTACTGTACGTTGCAGTGTATAGGAACAGTGAACTGAAGATTAAATCAGCGAACACCAGGAGTGACGGGACATGAGCCTGTGAACTGAATCTAAAGTAAACGTGGGTCATGCAGGACGACAGCAGCCCTAGGAAGAGGACTCGATCAAAGAAAGAAAACGTTCAAGTTGAATACATTTCACCTTTTGGAAAAATTAAGTCATAGTCCTGATGTATAGAAATAAATATGCTAAAAGGATTTTACGTTTTCTCAGAGCAACCTCACAGTTTGTTAGTGACAACGATTAAAAACAGACTTATTGGAGCCCCTACGTCCCTTGTGCTTTCTGGAAACAAACAGAATATTATACAAATTAGATCAACTTCACAGGAAATGTATCCATGATGTACAGCAAGTATCAGATGCAGAGAAGAGAAAACACAAATAAACCAGGAGCTAGCCAATTACAATGACAATGCTATGCTAATTACTGGATGATGTCATCTGCTGACTTTTAATACCTTTTTGTTTGAAAGTCTCGTTTTTATTTTGGGATTGTGGATTTAGCTCAGAGTTCTTCAACAGTAAAGTACAAACATAAAAAATATTAACTCAGTGTGAACTGACAAGTCTTCTCTGTCTTCGCTTTAGCTTCTGTCTGCAGCGGAGGATTCTTATATCAGAGTGTGGCACCTGGCTATGACACCAGAAAGTAACAGCGTGGAGGTAATTTGTTACTGCACACTCTTTGATTTTCTAACAAGTAAAGCAGTATAATTCAAATGTCTGCTGCTTAATTTAAATCAGGTAATTTATCCCTTTTCCAAAATCTAATTTACTCTTTGGTCACATTTTCCTTCTTGTTCTGAATTTCTTCTAGGTTGCTCATTTGCATAACGAATGTGTGACGGACACACAGATCTGTGGCGCCAAGTTTTGTGACGGCGATGGTTATGCTTTTGCAGTGACGGGATACGACCTGAGTGAGATTATACGCTATGTACAGTCATAGGTCTCTGCCGTTGTTAATGCGTAACGTGTACGACTAAACTGTGTATTTATTTGGGGAAAGCATTTTGTCTTTGAAAAAAGACAGAATATAGCAAAATATTAGTTTGTCTACAGTTTTTGTATGTTATATATATATTTAGTACATGCAGCTTCAAAGTCATTTTATGAAATATAATTTCTTACTTCAAAGAGCAGTTAATATTTTATACAGAAGTTGTTTTAATTTAGCCCTGAAGCTGTGGATGCTGTTGGTCATGTAGTCTGATCAGTGTTCGCTAGAGGGCAGAGTGGAGTTGTTTACAGGATTTATTAGACCTGAAGATGGCTCCTGTGAGAAACTCCACAGAGTGAACTGGTTCCACTGTGTGCAGACAACACCACTCACATCTGTCAGATCTGATGTTAACAGCAGATCTGACAGATGGAGCAGGAGCTCACACGTTTTGCTTTCATTTCATAGGTTCATCTTTTAAATGATCTCAGATACATTATTTATTCTTGTTCACAATTTTGCAGATTTTATGGTACAATTTATGTTCACAGTTTAAATGTAACATACAGTTATAACCTAAAATGTAGTATTTTAAATATTTTTGATCGCAACATGTTTTACCCTTGTGTTTAAATGTTTTTCTTATTGTTTAAAGTGTTGATTTATTGTTTGTGGTGTATTTATTTTTTTGCTTGTGAGACAGAATTAGAAAGCCCTTTATTATGTAAGTATATAAACATAAATCATATTTTCTCAGTGTTTCTAAAATAATCTTTCAAACAGTTGCTAGATTAAACATTTTAAACACAAAGTTATATTGTTTTCTTGGAATTAAGATGTCTTGAAATAATTTAAAAAATATATCAGAGCAGTAGTATGGGTTCAGGATTGGTTCTGGTTAACAGATATTAAGATTATTTTTTCTTTTTTAATTTCCCATTAGATATCATAATCCCATTTTATTGTGACAAGTTGAGAATCAGGTCAGTGAGGAATTGTGTGCTGTTTATGAGTCCTTACAATAAATCCCTGAGTTCTAGTCTTACATTGATGACAGAGACGGGACTACCACGTACTGGGCAGCCGATGTGTTGCATGGCAGTGACGATAAGTGAGCCAAGTCCGTACAATGTTACTGCGTCACCATCACGTTACACCAAAGCCACAAGAAAGCTGCCTCTTCACTGGAAGCTTGGTGTTGGAAATGTTAACTCTCTTGCTTTTAGAGTTTTGTACCAGATTTCAGCTGAGTATAATGAGCACTATGTTTCAACTTAAAGAACACATGGCGACATTTACGTTCAAAGCTCTGTCAGCTTGACCGTGTGTCAGACCAGTCTAGCTGCACATATATCACAGTGCCAAAGGACAGTCAAGAAGCTGATTGCTTTACAGATCATAGATTATTGGCATCAAGGTGTCGTTTCTCATTTAAACACAAGAAAAGAGGCATAAATGTCCTCGCAAAAATTCAATGTCAATATGAATAATGATAAAAAAGAAACAGCTGGAGCAGATATTACATCAGAAACTTGCTGACAGCACCGTGACTTTGAAGAACTAGGGGATAGTTGTGAATACACAAGTATCTGGAAAAAGAATGAAGGTGCAAAACGACTGGTTTCACGACCAGGAAGAGAAGATACAAAAAGTGCTTGAAGACGAGTTTTAAAAGAAATGACTTGATAAAAATCTAAAAAAAAAAAACTGGTTTCAGCAAAGAGGAAGTGCAGCATTGTGTCCAGGTAAAAGATCAGAAGGAGTTTTATGAGACTCTGGCCCAAGATCCAAAACCTTACATCCAGTAACATCTAAAGATTGAGCACCTCTTACTTCATCTGATGATTTAAAGCCAAGATGGGTCCAGTGGTCTGTTGAACCAGCCTAATGCTGACTTCAGTGTTGCAGCTGATATATAACATCACCCAGTCATCCAGTCAGTAGACTATAGATGAACTGGACAACACACTCAAGAATACCAAATTACCAAAGAGCCCAGGTTCTGATGGAGACAGTCCTGAAGTTCTTGTACATGGTGGAAATGGACAAACTTTCTTTCTGTTCCTTTTTCCTGTCCTGTCATTTTTTAAAACATGTTCCTGCCATCAAATTCAGAATTACTCCACTTTATCCTTAAAAACTGCATGTTTTTAATTCAAACATTCAACATGTTTAGAATTAATACAAATTGATTAGTTGGATTTGTCATTTATTACATTTTGTGTTTATTCACATTTTACACAATGTCTAAAACATGTATTTGTATTATATAGAACAAAGGTTTTAATCTTTCTCCTCTGCTGTGACCCTTCCTGTGAAGCTTCAGGTCAGTTCTTCACATCATGTCTCTCTAACTAGACAATCTAATATGGCAAGCCCTTTTAACATAAAATCGGATTGGATTCATACATCTTCAGCCTGCAGGAACCTAACAGCTTCATGTCATTAAACCTAACAGCTTCATGTCATTAAACCTAACAGCTTTAATGACATGAAGCCTCAAGTGTTTAACCTTTTGCAGATGGCTGGCTGACTGAATGTAAGTAAATACTTAGTAAAATCTACTTTGTCACTTCATAGTATGAGTTCATGGTATTATTCTGATGGCCTATGAACGGATTCAGTGGATGTTATATGACATGGAATGCATTGTTTTTGTTCAATCCCACCGGATTAAATTATTTCTACCTTCTGGCATCAAAGTTACAGTCTTCTGTTTAACTTTTTTTTTAATAACAGCTTGAGGTTTTGATTCATCTCGCCTCTAAAGAACTCTGAGCTCACCACCATCTGGGACAAAGGCTAATGCTTAAAACTCTTATCCCACCAGCCCCCCTTTGTCACCCTTCACCTTAAAAATTTAAAGCACCTCAGAAACAAAAGTAAACAAACTACATCACAATCTGAGGATGACTTTTAAAAATATGTATAAAGCACTTCAATATAACCATGTATATTATGTATAATACCATTATACTGTTTTGTAGTTGGGAAAATAAAAGTAATCGAAGACGTGGAATATTGTTTCCTTCCAATATGAGTTTGCATGTAACTCTTAGGGATTTCAAAGATTAATGTGTGACAGAGTTTAATAATTTGTGAGAAAAAAAATAGTTGTCTATTAAGTTTTACCCCATTTTCCCCCCAACCCTAACCTTCACTAAGTTCAGACGGTGAACTACTCATTTGTCGGGATATGCTGCGCAGCTATCGTCATGTCATCCAGGCAGCTCAGCAGAGGATAATAGTATTTAAACATCCTGTAAGTATGTGGATCCTCTCAGTCAGCAACATTAATGGGGACATGAGCAGGACGCCTCATGTCCTCCACCTTTAGAGAAAGGGTGCATTAGACAGCAGAGACGCTGGTTGGTGCGAGGGCGCCGTCTGTGTTGTCGTCTACTGACGGTCACCATGGGGAGCAACAAGAAGGTGTGGAACAGGAGGCAAAGTCTCTTTCCCAACTACAAAGTCACAGACTCGGATGCTAATCGAAGACCTTCTGAGCTCGTTTACCCACTAGCCAAGGAAAGCTGTGTGAAGACATGGACCTCCATGCAGGAGCTGACCAGAGACATCTATAACATTTACTCTGAGTATGAGGATGAAGATGATGAAGGTGGTGCTCCATATGGTTTCTCCAAGCAAATATCACCCAACAAGAACTATTCGATCAACATCAATGTAGGGGGGAAGTCCTACCAGATAGCCTACAAGATGGCAGCAAAGTACCCCAAGACCAGAATTGGACGTCTTGCCACCTACACAGACCACAACATGAAGCTGGACCTGTGCGACGACTACATCGTGACCAACAACGAATACTTCTTTGACAGGGACCCAGACGTCTTCCACAGCATCTTCAACTTCTACAGGACGGGCGTGCTGTGCATCAAAGATGAGCTGTGTCCTCGAAACTTCCTGGAGGAGATCAACTACTGGGGCGTGAGGATCAAGAACACGAGCCGATGCTGCCGCATCTCCTTCGAGGAGAGGCAGGACGAGCTGAACGAGCAGCTGAAGATCCAGAGGGAGCTGGAAGCTGAGGTGGAGATCGAGGAGAACGAGGAGCTGTTCCATGACATGTTCATGGGCCAGACACGTCGAGCCATCTGGAACTTGATGGAGAAGCCTTTTTCTTCGATCAAGGCCAAGCTGATGGCTTTGGCCTCCAGTCTGTTTGTCCTGATTTCCCTGGTGGCCATGACCCTCAACACGGTGGAGGAGATGCAGTACAAAACTCACACGGGCCAACTGAGCGGCAAGACCTACTGCGAGTACGTGGAGTCCATCTGCATCGCCTTCTTCACCATGGAGTACCTGCTGCGCCTCATATCCACGCCTGACCTCAGAGCGTTCAGCCGGAGCGTGCTCAACACCGTGGACCTGATCGCCATCCTGCCTCAGTACCTGCAGGCCGTCCTGGAGTTCTTTGACAGCGAGGAAAACTACATGAAGCACGAGGCCGACATGCAGGCTGTGGGCCAGGTGGGGAAGCTGGGGCAAGTGTTGAGGATCATGAGACTGATGCGAATCTTTCGTATCTTGAAGCTGGCGCGTCACTCCACTGGTCTGAGGGCGTTTGGCTTCACCCTGCGACAGTGCTACCAGCAGGTGGGCTGCCTCTTCCTCTTCATCGCTATGGGCATCTTCACCTTCTCTGCCATGGTTTTTACCGTGGAGCACGACATGCCGCAGACAAACTTCACCAGCATACCTCACGCGTGGTGGTGGGCCGCTGTAAGTTCATCTTTGTACAAATTAACTGGCAGAAGACCAGACAGAATGAGTTACTGGTATGTGTTGTCATGCTTCAGAACATGTGACCTGTGCAGACAACAGGAAGATTCAAATTACACTTTTTGTCAGTTATATATTTAGACATCATACATTGTCAATTTTACAAGTTGAATCATTTCTTATTAAAAGCAGGTAGGGATGAAACTATGTTTTTCTTTCTTTTATTTAAACCATGTTTTTGAACCTCTGAGCCCGTCTGTTTACCATAAATAAACCCATTAACAGATCACTGCCCTCCCTCTCAGAGCAGGTGGTAGAATCTTACTTCTAATCTGGGGGGAGGAAATAATAATCCTCCAAATGATACTAATGGATCTGGTGAAGGATGCTCGTTGTGCTTACTGCTGATGACACCTGTTGTAATCTAACAGAAGTGAGTCCCTGAACCGCAACACAGTGTTCCCTCATTTATCACGGGTTTTAGGGACCGCACTCCCCTGTGATAAGTGAAAAACCGTGAAGTAGGGATACAGTAGTCCAAGTAGTAGTAGTAGTAGTAGTAGTAGTAGTAAGTAGTAGTTTATTTTAATATATATATATATATGTGTGTGTGTGTGAAGGCGTTATAAACCCTTCCCACACATATGTAATGTTCTAAACAATGTTTCTAAACTCTGAACGCACTAAAAGAGCACAGAATGTCATTATTTCACCTCCCTGCCTCCTGCTGCACTCTGCCAGATGCAAGCGCTTTCCACTTTTCCGGTGCAGAACGGAGATATGACACGCTGCAGAAACAAGTTTCTCCTGCAGCTGTGGGCTGCACACAGGTGCAGCAGGTGCTAAATAATTTAAAATAATTTATTTTAAATAAAAATTCCATGTCGATCTTGTGGCTCATCCATCAACCGCGATTGCGGTTCATTTATCGCGGACTCTCTCTATCGTGGTTTTTCAAAATAAGATTGGACATGACACACAATTGGCTGATTGATGGATGAGCCGCACGATTGGCATGAAATTTTTATTTAAAAGAAATTATTTTAAATTATTTAGCACCTGCTTGCATCTCTGTGCAGCTCAGAGCTGCAGGATAAACTTCCTGCTGCAGCTGATCAGCTGTTCACCGTGCACAGCGGAAAAGAGGGCGTGGCCAAGAGCGCTTGCAAGTGGCAAAGGAGGCAGGGAGCAGAGATCATGACATGCTGTGATCTTTTAGAGTGTTTAGAGTTTAGAAACACTGTTTAGAATATTGCAAGAGAGTGAGAAGGCTTTAAAATGCCTTTCTATCTATAGATAGATAAAAAGGTAGATGGATGGATGGATGGATGGATGGATGGATAGATGGATAGATGGATAGATGGATAGATAGATAGATAGATAGATAGATAGATAGATAGAT